CCAGCCCCTAATCCCATTGGGCCATAGACCCTGCTCCTCCAACTCCCCCGCCCCCCAGAGCCCATGCCACTCCACCAGCCAAGGTCAAACTATAGAGAAGCTGGGTCAGTGACTTCCGGGAGCCCTCAATACATAGATCCCTTGGGGACAGTGGCACCATGAAGACCCCTCAGCCTGAGGGCAGTCTGCTCAGGAAACCTCACCTCCACCCTTTGACCCTCTGACCCTCAAGGACCGCTATAGTAGACACAGTAACCGTGTCCTCTCTCTGAAGAAAGAAGTAAAATCTTGGCATGAATGCTTTCTGAGTAGCCCCTGGCGTCTCCTGTCTGATGCCTGGGCCCAGTGTCCCAGGGAACCCTGGTGTCACAGACATAAAGCAGGAGGGCGGTAAATGCTCTTGGCACAGAGACAGGAAATAGAGCTGCAGAGCAACGTGTCAGAGCAGATGGCGGTCTAGTGTTCAGTTAGTACCATCGGAGCAGCCAAAGCTGACAACCAATGCGTTCAGTCCCTCTCAGGTGAGCCCTACTCTGAAGACACCACCTCCCTGGAGCCCGAGGGCCTGGAGAATACTGAGGCAGGGCCTTTGGGGTGTCACCTCAGTCCAGAAGAGCAGCCATGTAGCTCCTTGCTCTCCAGAGATGATGCTCACACGGAGCTGGACCAGCCTGGAGCATCCTGCAAGAGGACCCTAGGGGCCACAGCCATGCCTGGTAGGTACTCTAGCCAACTTCTTTTCTGAGGGGTTCTGGAGGTAGGAGTCTCTAAGAAGCCAGTCCCTCCCCCTAATTTATGTAGACAGATTGGCCAATTCTTTCCGGGTAATTGTCCTGCCAACCTCATGGACATTTTTCTGCCTGGTTCAGGGCTTCCCTGTGATGTCTAGAAATAGCAAGAAAGATGTTAAGCCATTTGCAGTCCCCTGCCACTGATATAGGGTAGGGACATGTCAGTTTCCTCAAAACGGCTACAGTGCCACCAAGTCCAAAGCTACACTGGAAGATCAGCAGAGTTGGTCCCACTCATCAGGAAACAAAGAGCCAGAGAAGGAAACCAGTTCCATTAGATTTTTATCAGACCGTTTAGCCTTCCAAGTGGAATCCCTGAGGATGCCTCTTCCTACGCCCAAGGGTGCTGGTGTGCCGGGTTCAGCAGTTCAGATGCGGATTAAGTTAGAGTTAATGAGGTCACAGCCGCAGCGCGCCTTCCGTCCGCACACGCGCAGCTGCTGCTGGGAGACCTGTCTGCTCCTGCTTCCTTGTTGGTCCTTAGAGACTGTAACCTCGTGTTCCCCACAAGGATTAGGGTCCTAGGGATAGAAATGGGCTTCTACTTGTTCCCAGAACTGTGAGTGACTAAGTCTGTCCAGGGATAAGACTCTATATTTCTTCCCATGATGGCATGACCCTGGATCATGTGGAAGAGGCAAGCAGGAGAAGACCCAGCAATGCCAAGCAAAGGCCCTTGTGCCTGGGAGGTTCTGAGAGTGGAACCCAGGCAGCAACATTCATTGATCCTCACACAAGACTTCCCACACAGCATCTCCTAGATGGGGGGTGGGGGGATATCAGAGTGGGGATGGGGAGAAAGGAGTGTCAGGGTGTGGCCGGCTCTTCTCTTGATGGAGCAGGCTGTCCCCAAGATCACGGACATGATGATATGGTCTGCCACCAGGTCATATGGCTTCCCTGCCCCTCATTGTCACTGCTAGGAAAAGCAGCGATGTCTAGCTCGCCCCGAAGTTGTAGGGACTAAATGAGATAGTCACGTGTGTTGCCAAATGGACACTAAATTAGCAACGACAAGTGTGATCTCACAGGGAGTCAGAGTATGGACTGGGTTTGGAGTATCCTTGGCACAGGGTCTCCCAGGCTGCATTGGAGGGATTACAGTGTCACTCAGGCAGTTTCTGGGCAGGATCATAGCCCAGGGTGGGACCTGCGGAGCACCAGACACAGCAAGGGGTAAATGTGTTCCCGGGCTCTTGACCCTTCCCTCAACTCAAACCCCACCTTTCTCCAAAGGGATAGATGATGTCAAAAGCAAACAGCTTCCCTCCCAGTACCTGGCTGATGTGGACACCTCTGATGAAGACAGTCTCCAGGATCCCAGGGCAGCTTCCCAGCATTCCAAGAGGAGGGCCCGGGCTATGCCTGACACACAGGTAGTGGGGTTTGAGAGAATTCCGCCTTTGTGTTTCTCTGGATGGATTTTTTTTTTCTCTTTCACACCAAGTTGCTTTCTGCACTTTTAGACATAAAATTGACTATATTAAAGGAATATATGTATATATACATATATATACATACATATACATATGTATACATACATACATGCTTTATTGAAGTAGATTTATGTAATGTAAAGTTGACAACATATTCCAGTTCCTCAAAATGTTAGAAGGAAGGAAGAAAGGAAGGAAGGAGGGAAAGAAGGAGAAGTCATGCATGGTAGCTAATCAAATGAGTTGAGAAACCGAGGTAGAAGGATATGGCCTCAGCTACATAGCCAGACTCCATCTCTAAGAAGAAATTAAAAATTAAAACCACCTGGCTCTTCCATGATAATGCACAGAATTGTAATTAATTTTGATTATATGGTCACCAAGATGGAAATCAGAGTCCCCAAAAGACAGCCATATGATATTGATTTGGCCAGAGAAGAACCTGTGTCCCCTGCCTTTAAGACAAGAGATAGATTTCTGCAATCAAGCAAGGTTTAAGTCACATTCCTTCCTGCAGGAGATGGTGACATTTGCATTTCAAAAAGGCTGAGTCCTGAGTTCGGAGCCTGAGCAGGACTTATTTAACCTGCTATGATGGTCACACACACAGGAAATGGGTAAAGGAGGAAATTCTGACATGAGAGACTGGGAGAAATCTCCACCCCAGACTAGAGATGGAACCTTGGGCCTCAAACATGCTAGGTCACTGAGCTCTCTAACATTGAGTCACACACACAGCCCCAGCCCTTGGATTTGTCCCTGCCACAGCCAGGCCTTTTATTTTCCACAGAGAAAGGGAGGCTGCTCATCTTCATCCTGTGCTTGCCTCCATCTTGGCAAAATGGGAGAGTCCAGTTCTACTTGAAACCCTGGTCCCCCCTGAGACCCTTTGTGTGGTGGGCTTGTCTGCAAAGTCCCAGAGGCTCCAGCCACCAGGCCGAAGTTGGAGTTGCCTAAGTTCCTTGTGTGTCTCACAGGCCTGGTGGCCCCCGCTTCTCTACAGGGCCTAGCTACAGCAAGGGCCTCACCAGAAAGTCACCGCTGAGCCCTCTGAGCCAACTGCCCTGTCTGTTATTTTGCTGGCCCCTCTGAGCCTCTGCCTTCTTCGCCAGTTCCTGCTTCCCAGCCTCCTTAGTGGATTGCTTTCTTCCTCACCCCGTGTGGCATTCGCAATGACAAGTCTTGGCACTTTTTGCTCTCTCCAAGTCCCCACCTGTGCTTCCTGGCCAGTAGACAAAGGCTATGTGCTGAAGCCCACTGAGGATATTGATCATTGTCAACACAACAAACGCCATGTGAACCTTCAGTCATGCCCACCGAGGGCAAGCATGGGCACAGGGCTCACACACGCTTGCGCTGACATTTCCAGTGAGCGGTCTTCCCCCACTGGACGTCCTCAGTGCCGTGGTAATTACCCACCAACAATGGCAGCTTCCCACCCCTGTGCGTGTCATTTCCCTCTCATAAGGCCAGGCGAGCGGTAAATGAGATAATGCGGGACGGAGAGGCCGCCCGCGAGGAAGCAGAGCGAAGAGGAATTGATTTTCCGGGCTCTGTCTGAGAGCTAATAGACTAGCTGACTCAAGAGTCTGGTGACTCAAAGAAATTAGGAAGCTGTGCTTTGGGTCACTAACGACCCAGGGCTCTTGCTACCTAATGACTTTGGTCACCGTGTCCAGCTTAATGCACATCTTCCTGCGCTAATCAGCCAGGACAGTGACAGGAGCTGCCCAACGACAGGCACAGTCACCTCTTTCAGCTGCCTTGAGGTCTGGTTGGGTTGCTCATCTTTCCTACAAGGTCCTCCCACCCCAGTCACCTCCTCTCTCAGTTCCAGCACCCTTGGTGTCAGAAAGGCCTTGTTTCACAATTAACCTCCAGGGCTGTGTCACAGCTGGATTTGGAACGAGGAGGAAGACCCCTGGGCTGGTGGGAGTTGCAGAGAGGTCCTCCGCTATAACCAGACCACTGTTTCTCTCTTCCTCTGCTGCAGATTTTGGAGTTGAACAAGCGCATGTCAGCTGTGGAGCACCTGCTGGTCCACCTGGAGAATGTGGTCCTGCCACCCTCAGCCCAGGTAATAATACCCTAGGCTATGTGAGATCAGCCCACAACCTCCCCTTAAGGGAGGTTAAAGTCCACTTTGGGGAAGTGTCTCAGAGATCTTGCCTGGTTGGTGCACAGTGCTCCAAGGACGGATAAATGAGGTTTCCTAAGTAGCCCACCCACATGAAGCCACCCAAGGCTGATCACAAGGTGACACAGTATGGGTAGGTATCACATAAACTCCTGTGAGATGAATCTTCATCCAGATGTAGACACCATGGGTGCTGAAGCTGGACCGGTATCCTCAGCCTTCACTACCTCACCGAAGAGACTCATGAATCTCACACCTCTTCCCCACCCCAAAGTCAAGGCCAACTGGTAGTGGTTACATCATTCTTGGTAGCTCCTTGCCAGTCCCTTTATGACCCAACTTCTCTTGAAGTCATAATGCCACTTACAGGACCTGTGGCTGAAGGACATCACAGTGGAAAGTAACTTCAAGCAGCAAAGAAATGGCCACTGTCTAGGCTCCAAAGCCAGCCTGAGACACACATGTGGTCTTTCCTGGACTTTTTTTTAACCAGTCGGAGCAAATAGATATTCCAGGTCCTTAAAATCTCATCAAGACAAAGAGACGGGCTCCCATGCCGGCTGCCTTCTTTGATCTGCACTCAAGAAGACTCGCCTATGAAGGATGGTGCCACTGAGTCACCACACACTGACACCTTCCCCTTCTTCTGTCAGCAACATTCTGCAACTTGATGTTGGCCTGAGGGGGGTTGCAAAAGTGACATGAAGATAAGGTGTGACACCTCCACCTTGTCCCTGAACTCACAATAACTGGAAAATGTCTTTGTTGCTATGTGAGCCAAGGCTAGACCCCCAAAGCACTATGGGAACACAGAATATCTAGGCAGTGTTGAGATATCCCCATTGTGGCACACCTCAGCCTCACAAAGGGAGAATGCAGAGAACCAGAGAAGCCCCTGTCCCCAGCCCCATGAGTCATAGTCAAATGCTCAGGGCTATAATTGAGGTCCATGGATGTAGGACCAGAGCTGGAAACAAATGGAAGAGCTGTGGGTTCAATGGGATCAGGGAGCAGTGTAGGGAGGAGCTACCCTCCATGTATGAGCACATCCCCTAAGAAAAGCTCAGTGTATTGTCCAAACCCTGTGGTCTGATGGGCCGTCCTTAAAAGAGAGATGTGTTCTGCCTTGTACCACAACATGGGTCAGCCTGGAGAACTTAGGCTCGGTGAAATAAGCTGCCCCAGAGAGCAGATCATGTGATGCTGCTCATACGAGGAGCCCAGCAAAGTCAGATTCAGGAAGACAGACAGGAATGTGATGGACACCTAGAACTGGGGGATGGATGGGGAGTGAGTGTTCGGAGGGGGTGGAGACTCAGTATAGCAAGAGGGGAAAGTTCTGTGGGGAGAGGGCTGTGCTGGATACATGACAAAGAGCTGAGCCATGTGTGTACCTTGTAATGGCGAGACAATAAATTGTATGTGCCTATTTTATCCAGGTGAACATTTGGGGCCATGAGGAAGCAGGGCAAAGGGTGGGCCTTAAATGGGAATGGGTGCTGGAATCTTCTCAGGCTAGCCCACCTCCCCAAGCTGCCTCTGAGCCCCTTGCCTGGCCCTGTCAGGAACCAGCTGCGGACTCAAACCCCAGTGCAGACACAGAGGAGGAAGCTCTCCGGAAGAGGCTGGAGGAGCTGACCAGCAACATCAGTGATCCTGGCACCTCATCAGAAGATGAGACCAAGTCAAGTGGCACCCTCCACGCCATGTCCCCAGAGGTAAGGTCTGTCGGTCCCAGGCAAAGGGCAGAGCAAGAGTTACAGTCCTGGGTAGCCACCCACTCTCTCAGGGATGATGGCTAACTAGCTACAGGCTTCAGGGGACTTTATAAGACCACACGGATGAAAGGGGGGATTTGAAAAGACCATATGGGGGGGGGCTCAGCAGTGAGGCAGCAGCCTGTGATCTGCTTTATGGATGACCAGTGTCACCCTTCTTGTCCCTAGGTGTGCACAGACATGGGGCACATGGAGACACAGGGAAGGAACTCTCAGGGGCCCAGGAACCCTACTCGGACTACAAAGAGCACAGACAAAGAGCTGTCAGAGATGGAGGACAGAGTGGCCATGGCAGCCTCTGAAGTTCAACAATCTGAGAGTGAGGTAGCCTTACATCTCCTAGACAAAATTCCCCAAGGATGACATTGTCCTGGTGATGGGACCCAGGCAGAGGTCTGAGAAGCCAGCAGCACACCTGCGGGCTCACAGAGCCCCCCTGGCAGTCAGGAATAGGACAGAGAGCAAGCCTAGGGCTTGCTCCTTCCCACCTTGCTGCTCCTCGCTCAACCTGGGGAATGCAGGCAAGCTTTTCAGTCATGAGAAAGATACATGCTGTCATCATCCCCCAGCCTATGAGCAGAACCCAGACCCAGACTGAGAGGTTAGGACAGCAGGGCTCACACCTGAACTTGGCAGATGGTTCCTCTGAGCCTGAGCCGTGACTGTAGGGTTCGGTCGGGTTCTGGGGAGAGACATCAACAGTGCACAGGTCCAGGCCAAGCCAGCGTGTACAGGTCTTCCAGGGACAGCTGCAGACTGCAGTGTCCTCCCCCTGGAGTCTGGTCAACAAAGAAGGCCTGCACCCAAGCTATGGGGACATCCAGGGCCCCTGCCCTCATCAGCAAATGGTTGCCAGAGCCCAAGAAAGGGAGGTGTGAGCCAGCACCACTCACCTCCAAGGACTGAGGTAGGCCCAGGCCTTTTCTTCAAGGGCTCCCTTCTGAAATGTGACTGACATGGGCAGGTCACATAGGGGACAGCTGTGAAGACCTGAGCCCAAGTTCCCGCCTCTGTGGAACTTATATTCTTTGTGGGAGCAGACACATAACAAAAAAGTGGGAACAGACCAAATAATTCCACCATGACACAGTAATGAGGGCAATATGGAGGTTTATCCCAGAATGCCCAGGGAGGGACGCTTAGAGAAGGTGGTGGAGGGACCCTGGAGAGAATCCAGCACCGAAGGGCTAGGGCAGTGGGTCACAACCCCTGTGGGTCACGACCCCTGGGGAGGCCACATTATCAGACATCCTGTATATCAGATATTTACATTACAATTCATAATATCAGAAAAAATTATAGTTATGAAGTAACAATGAAATAAATGTATGCATATAAATAAATAAATGCATAGGTGGAGGTCTCCACAACATGAGGAACTATATTAAAGGAACATGGTATGAGGGAGGTTGAGAACCATTGCTCTAGGGGATTGGAGCACAGGCAGAGGGGACAGAACGTGCAAAGGCCCCGAGGTGGAGTCATACTTAGTAAGCTCATGGACCAACTGTGAAACCCCAAGACTCAAAGACAGGGATGGGGAAGTGGAGAAAACGTTCCAGAGGATGGTAGATGGGAACCTCGGAGGTAAACTGAGGGAGTGACCGGTGGTGTGGCTCAGTGGTGTGCACCCCATGCTTAGCATGTGCAAGACCCCGAGTTCAATTCCAGGACCAGGTCATGGTTGTGATTCTGATCTTTATGATCGGAGATGGAACACTGAGTGACATCTGTCTGGCTCCCTGTCGTCTGTCATGTCTGTCGTCTGACCCTCTCTTTTCTAGGTCTCGGACATCGAGTCCAGGATTGCAGCCCTGAGGGCAGCGGGGCTCACGGTGAAACCCTCAGGAAAACCCCGGAGAAAGTCAAACATCCCAGTGAGTTGGGTGAGGTGTGGAACATCAAGCCTGTGTCCCCTAGGACATCCTCAGTAGCCCACAGTGTCCCCTAGGACCTCCCAGGGACCATGGCGTAAAAGCCCTGACTGGGAAGACAAGAGATCTATAAAATACCTGACACACAAGCATGATGACCTGAGTTCAATCCTCAGAATTTATAACACAGAAAAAGATAAATAAAAGGCCAGGCAAGGTGGTGCTGGTACACACTTGCAATCCCAGGGTTGGGGAAACAGCGATAGGAAGACCCCTGGGGCTCACTGGTCAGCCACCCAGCTCTACTTGGTGAGCTATGGGGCAGCAAGAGACCTTATCTCAAAAAAGATGGTGGCTAACATTTGAGGGGTGACACACAAGGGTGTTCTCTGGCCTACACATATAGTGCCCTCCCACCCCATTCATATACAAAGCTCCCAATGTGGGTGGTCAAATCTCATCTGGTGATGGAAGACTTGATTCAATGACCGTTTTGAGATGAGTGTGGTTGGAGGTACTGAAGGGAAGGCTCGTGCCACTGGACCTGTGCTTAGACCACTGACTAGACCCTAACATCTTTCCCCAAGACCAGTCAGAGGCTTCAGACAGAGAGAGCAATGGTGGGGGTATTGGGGTAGAAGAATGAAGACTGGCCTACAGCGCCTACCTAGGTAGGGTTAGGGATTAAATCCTTACTGCCCAGTCATTGTGTTGTTCTAGATAGATAGATGGGTGGGTGGGTGGATGAGTGGGTGGATGGATAGATAGATAGATAGATAGATAGATAGATAGATAGATAGACAGACAAATAGATGATTGATAGATGATAGATGGATGATAGATATAGATAGATAGATAGATAGATGATTGATAGATGATAGATGACTGATAGAGAGATACATAGATACATAGATGATTGATAGATGGATGATAGATAGGTGATTGACAGATGATAGATAGATAGATAGATAGATAGATAGATAGATAGATAGATAGTTGATAGATGGACGATAGATAGATAGATAGATGATTGATGGTTGATAGATGGATGATAGATAGATAGATAGATAGATAGATAGATAGATAGATAGATATGTAACTTTCACATGTGAGTTCCCCCATGTAACTTCAAGTTCCTACTATAGCAAGAAATTGCTTGTTAGCATAAAAAGTCAGCTGGAAAGTGCATTTTAATTTTCTGACTCCATAGCCTTGTAATTTTATTTTTGTCACAGCTTCAAACTCCTAGCAGCCTGGCCGCTAAGGCTGTGGCCTGGGGGGAGTTCTGTTCCCCCAGACAATGGCACTGCTGGCGTTAAAGTTAGTTGAGATTCAAAGGCTAGCATGAAAACCTGCAAGCTCAGAGACCTACAGTAGCAACTGACTAACTTTCTCTCTCTGCTGGCATCCCGGAAGCCACTCCATTCCACACCTCCCCAACTAAAACTAAATCCATACTAAACGCCTCCCTGCCATTTCCTATCAACCAGTTGCTAGCCACGGCTCTCTGCACACAGATTAATTTTATTTAATTAAGGCAAATGCAACACATTTTTATGCAGCTAACAAATGCAGAATGAACAAATGTAATAAATTAAACCAATCTTCCAAAACATTGTCTAGAACCCCAGGAGGTAATGGGGTGCGGTGTTACACTCTATCCCAGCATGCTTGACCAGTACCTACAGGGACCACTGTCCTGCACCGTGCCTGCTTGACTCCCACTCTGGATGTCATGGTTCAACAAGACGCTAATGACACATTTCTTCCTTGGTCTCCAGATCTTTCTTCCCCGGGTTACTGAAAAACTTGACAGGATCCCCAAGGACCCCTCTGCAGACCCTGAGGACCAAGCCAAGGTGCCCAAGGTACCGTCCACCACTGCCTTCCAAAGCAACTCCCTCCGAAGAGGAGGGTATGGAGAGAGACCAACAGCACAGCAATGCCCGAAGAGTCCACAGACTGGGTCAGGGGGTAGAGAGTTGGGGAGTAGGGCAGCCCCTGATGGGGAAATCCCAGAGATCCCAGCAAGGTGCCAAGATGGGGAACACAGGTATATGGAACTTCTGTCAAGCACCAGGCTCCCTGGCTCAGTTCTTTAAGCACATTTGCTCTCTCCACTCCTGAAAAGGTCAGACAGAGAATGGATTTCTCAGCATGTTGTAGAGAGGGGAACACGTGGACAGGAAGAAGGAGGAAGAGCAGACACAGGGAGCACCATTCACAGCCATGAGTGCGTGTTACAGAGGAAGAGAGTGGCGGTCACAGAGGATGGGTTCTAGCGTGGGGTAGTAAGCAGCAGCACTGTGATTCGAACCCAGGTCCCTGTACTCTTTCCAACCCTCCACCCAAAGAAGGCAGTTCCCTGGCTTCTCTTCCACGCAGGCACTGGCGCATGATTTACAGACAGTGTGTATATACTAGGAGTTCGAATATTTGGCAGAGAATAGAAAACAGGTGACCTGGGTAATTAAAACCAGGAAAAAAAAAAAAGAAATCCCAAATTAGCTCAAATTACACTTCAGGAATGCCCAGGGATGTTCTCTTCCTCCTAGGCCACGGCGCTGCCCTATCTCCTGAAGAGGAAGTATTCCCCCAGCAGTCAAGGTAAGAGTGACCTGTTCCCCTTCCTGCCTCGCTGCTACTGAGAAATGAGCTCAGAGGAGCAACGAAGGCAGCCAGGCTCTCTGCACACGCCTCCCTAATCTATGGAACCCACCCTAGGCCCTGTCTCTTTAGAACACTCAAAAAGGCTCCTGTACCCCACCCCAGGGCCCATGCATGGTGTTTCGAGTAGCTTTAAAAGCAAGCGCAGGCAGCACTGGTAGGGCCAGTGTTTCCACGGCTTCAGTATAAACAGTCCCTACAGAAAATGCAGACTATCAGGCAGTTAGAAGACTTTGAAGTCTCCGTGGTGACAAGGACATCAGTTTTGTCCCGGGAACATGGAAGTGCACCAGTTACTTTTTCTATAACTGTGGAAACTCTTGTGAGAAACTCAAAGGATTGGAAGTATGTTCTGGCCTGTGACTTCAGAGGGTCGAGTCTGTGCTCCCCCAATGCACTTGGGTAGCACACTGGGTGTTGGGAGTTTATGGTGGAGGAGGACACTTTCCTCCTGCCGATGATAAGCAGAGCCCAGGAAGAGACTCCTCTTTGCATCCACTGAGGTCCCAGCACACATCTGGCTCACCTGAAGATCAGGGCTGGTACCCCAGGCCCTCCGAGTCAGGGTTAACTTAGAGAGGGGACAATGAGAAGCTGCTGTTGAAATGTTGGGGCTTCTAGAGCACCACAGTTTAATCTTAAAGGGAAGCTTCTGCCAACCTCCAAACACAGGAGTGTGGGCAACAAGAAGACAGAGGTGAGCCCCAAAGCCCCTTGGCAGGCAGGCCTGATGTGTAGCACATCACTGAACACAGGTCTGGAGAGACCATCGGGACTCCGGAGTACTGTGAGCCAGCCCCACTTCCTTCAATCAAGAAATTCCCACCTGAACCATGAAAGTCCACTCCCCCCACGTAAACACAAACAGTTGGTTAAGGCTGGAGGCCAAGGCCCTCAACTCTGCAGCTACAGGCCTAAAAGACTTCTGCTCTGAGATCAGAGTCCCAGCACCCCTCAGGTCCCTTGTCCTGTCACAAAACCACATGGTAGAAGATATTCCCCTGACCTAAGTGTCCTAAGCCCCTGTTATTCTTCCAGAGCCAGAGAAAAAGGACACAAGCTCCAGTTCCAGCAACCTAAAAGCTTTGGCCCCACCTCCTTCCTCACTGGTCCCTTTCTTTCCTTCTGGTCCCATCTCCTGGTCACTGGCCCCACCCTCTTCTTGCCCTGCCTCCTTTCTTAGTGGTCCTGACTCTTTAAAAGAGGTAGAAGCCTCTGAACTGGTATTCACACAACCACACAACCACTGAGCGCTTCTTGCCAAGTGTGTCCCAGTGTGAACCCTCCTAACAGAGGCTGTCAACGCCGCTGTCCAATGTCTGAGGTAGAGAAGAATTCATTTGGATTGGTCTTTGGTTGTTTATGCGCTTCCTCTCTATTTTCCCAAAGGCATAGATGGTGGTTCTTTCGATCGGAAATCGTTGTACCGTGGCTCGCTGACACAGAGGAACCCTAACGGGAAGAGAGGGACAGCCAGACACATCTTTGCGGTAATGTCTCCTTTCTCCATGTGACCTTGTAGCTTCACGTTTTGCTAATGCCTTAATCAAGAGCGAATGAGAGGTGGCAGGTGAGGGTAACCATCAATCTGCATAAGAACTGAACTCATTTCTTTAAAGTATCCAAGTACAGCAAGGAATAAAAAGTGGCAGAATCATTAAGCACCTGGTTCCCAAGGGGCAGGCTCAGCTCTGGAAAGGGGCCAATCCAGAAATTGCTAGGCTGCTCTCCGGCAAGCCCTCAAGCCCGCTAGGGCTGCTGCATACAGAGGGTGAGCCCTCGAGACCCTCATTTGACCCCTGAGGCCCTCAGTTCAGCAAAACGAGCCCTGGACACAAGAACAACCCGGCACTGAGTTAGGAGCATGCCCAGTGGTTCCTCTGTGACCTGTCAGATGACAAGGTTGTGGCCGTCACCCTGGAAAAACTCACGGTGACAGTGATAAGTGTCCTAATCAAGGCCTAAACACACTTTGTGTTAGTCTAATTTTCCTTGCTGTAATGAAATACACTAGGCAGACAGGCTACTTAGAGAGAAATTAGATCTACTTGACTCACGGTTCTGCAGAGTTCAAGAATATAATGCCAGCATCGCTGCTTAGCAGACGCTTGTAATGGGTGGGAATCTGTGAGAGATCATTTCACCAGACGGGAAAGTGAGGATCATTCTGGAGTCACAGGTTCAGACTTTTAAAAATGTGTATCTATGTGAGGGTGTGTGTCTGTGTGAGTATATGCCAGTATGTGCCATGTGTGTGGGCACCAGCAGAAAAGGTCATTGGATCCTCTGGAGTGGAGTTGTGAGCCACCTAGATGTGTGTGAGAACCAAACTCGGGTCCTCTGAAAGAGCCGGAAGCACTCTTAACCACTGAGCCATCTCTCCACCCTGTGCTTTAGCGAGGCTGTCTTTAATCCTTCCCAAAGGCATGAGCCCTACAACCTAGAGAACTCCCACTAAGCCCCGCCCATCAAAGTCAATCACCACACTGGGACCAAACCTCCAATATATGAACCTTGAAGGAAACCTTACATCCAAGCTATACCAAACCTTGCCCCCATATCTCTCCTTACCCTCTTTTCGCCAACCCAGTGCACGGTCCAAGGTTCACCTCAACTTCCTTCTAGTTTTAAGGCTGAGCAGACGTCTGCCTGGCTCAATTCTTCAAACCTTGTCCAAGAAGACTGAGTTCCAAATTTATTATTTTCTTAAAAGGTTGCCTTAGGTTGAAGGTGTAGCTTGGTGGCAGGCTGTCTTGTCAGCATGCACACAACCCTGGCGTAGGTCACCCATGCCACAGGGAAAGCCGTAGTTTCCTTGGGATGGCCTAAGTATTTATCTAAAATGTTTGTCTGACTCCACCTACTATCTAGGCTGAATATTAATGACTTCTGGGGAAAGATATTTCAATGCGTAGCCTCAGGGTTGGCCTAAGCCATTGTCCTCTGCATGCGGCTCCTCATAACAGCCTCCTGCACAGGCCAAATGGAGCCTCCTCCAAGGACAAATGTAACTAGAAGTTTTACTCCCACCTGTCAGTTCCCGAATAACCACTCTGAGGCTTAATATTAATTACAAATATTTTGGCCTATTAGCTCAGGCTTATTATTAACTAGCTCTTACTACTTAATGCATTTCTATTAGTCTATATTTTACCATGAGGCTTGTGGCTTGTTACCTGGCATCTTGCTTCCCTGGCCGCTGCTGTCATCTCTATGACTCTGCCTTCTTTTTCCCTGTATGCTTTGCTTGGGTTTCTTACCTGGCTCTATTCTGTCCGGCTATTGGCCAAATCAGCTTCTTCATTAACCAATGGTAGTAAAACATATTCACAGCACACAGAAGGGCATCCCACATCAGACAGGTCTCCGTGTACTATTTAGCTCTTTGTGGTCACTGAGAATTTAATGAGTACTCAGCAAGCAAGTTTTAGCTGAGTTCTACACCCAGCACCAATCCTAATCAAGTCCATGTGGGCATCTCATGATGGGAGGGGTGCAGCCCTCAAGTCCCCAGCCCTTCTTCTGCTACTGTGTAGGTGCTTTGACCTGGAGGCCTTTTCAGGAGATCTCTGTGTCCTGGAATCCTCTGCTCACACTGTTCCCTGTAAACTCTGTAAATTTTCTGTAGACTCATGTACAGAAAGTGACTGACTAACATAACTCAGGGCGTCTATAAATTCCCTTCCCCATCTCTGGCAGAACTGCAGCCAGGGGCAGAAACCACAGTGATGGAGGCGGCAGCCATGCAGGCTTGCAGCCAGGCTCCAGAGAAAGCTTCCATATAGGGGCTCAGGGAACCTGCCACACCCTGCAAACTCGTCTTCTTAGAAAGACAGAATGAAGCCAGTACCCCAATCCATTCTCTTACTGTGTGTGCCCTTCTGGGGGATACGTGAATCATGGATGGCCTTTCATGGTTATGAACTCCCTGTTTAAAAACCAGAGTGTCACAAGGTAAAGATGCAGAAACAGTAGAAAGACATTCAAGGACCTCGCCCTTGCAGGAGTCTGTATGTCCACGTTAAGGCAGGGATACCCTATACTACACACTGAGGCCTGGAATGAGTCTGCCTGACCCTCATAACTGGAGGTGGTATTCTCTCAAAGGGAACTGAGGACAATAAAGTGCATGCCTGCCAATTAAATCCTGACCCTCTATAGGCTTTTAAATCAAGTTCCCTGCCTTCAAAAGCTCTGGATTTTCAAGTATTTTCCATGGACACAGTGGATGGAAACTCATATCTGGGAAAACAGAGTTACAGAGAGGTTAAACTAAAGAAATTTAAAAAAAAAAAAAAACAAGAAAGCAAGGCATGGAGGTGCATGCCTTTAATCCCAGCACTCGGGAGGCAGAGGCAGATGGATGTCTGTGAGTTCTAAAGCAGCCACCTGCTCTACATAGTGAGTTCCAGGACAGCCAGGGCTATGTATGTAGAGAGACCCTGTTTTAAAAGACAAAAACAAACAAACAAACAAACAAAAAAAGCAAGGTATCCACTAAGGCTGGTGCAAAGCAAACACAATCAACTGAGTAGTGTGTGCACACATAAACAAATAGAACCAGGAGCTTGCATATGTACCTGTATACTGTGCACACATTCGAATGTCTGAGATTAGATCCAAATGTATTCATACCTGCATGTGCTTTTCTTCAATCACACCTATGTCTATGTCTGTACCCATGTATCATGCACATGCTGGTATGTATGTCTTTGCATGCCCACATGGATGTCAATATACACGCCTATGTGTGTGTCTGTATTACATCACATGTCTCTCCGTATATGCATACATTATACCTATGTACACATGCTGGTGTGTATATCTGTGTGTGCCAACATGTGTGTATGCTTGTGTACATACATATATATAAGTTTGTGTCTAGATCCTCACCGGTGTGAAGACCTATATTTGTATGTTTCTCTGTTACAACTGTATCTGTCACATAACTGTGAGGGGTTTTTTTACATATGTGTATACACTTTGCACATGAAGCCATGTGCACACCTAAATAAATATGTGTGTTTGTGCTCTGCAGAAACCCGTGATGGCCCAGCAGCCCTAGAAGGGGACGTTCATGGGCACAGGAGAGTACCACAAAGCACCCCACACTGCCTCCTCCACACGGCCATCGCATCCCCATGGGCTCAGAACTTCTTGATGGTCACAGCTGCTTGCAGTCACCATCCAAGTGAAAAATAAGAAGAACTTCCTGTATGGCTCCTCTTGTGAGGTGGCAGGTTCTCAGACTTCTGGCTGTCACCAGGCCATCTGCCAACCTCTGACCTGGAAGATACAAACTCATGGAATTCCCCCTTCAGACGATGCTCTCTGCCTGAGGGACACCCAGATACCCTTTCGCTATGACTCTTTAACCCCGTCCCTTGACTCTGTTGAGCCACATTCCCAGACGTGATGGAAAGAGATAGTCCCGCGGACACCCTGAGTGTATTCACATTCCTGACTGCGAGGGAGAGAGACAGATACAAGCGGGTGTTATGGGAGAGTGAGCAATTACAGGCAGCGAACGAGGGGTCTAATCTCCTCACCCATCCCACAGACCTTGTTCTTAAGTTTCCTTGTGGGTCACAGACAGAAGCCATAACACTGTCTCCCACCCCAGAGTTTCCACCACCATAACCACCAACCTCTGTGCCACATCAAAGCCGAGCCTCTAACACAGGCTTTTGGGGTGCATGGCCTAGGGACCTCGGTCTCTAGACAGCTCACACTTTAAACATAGGATTCTAGCTCACACAAATGACAGTTTTGGAATTTATCAAGAATTCAGGTTTTCCAAGGCCGAGGGCATCGGAGTCAGTCTTGCTCATGACTATATAGTCAGCTCTTCACAGCCCTTCCACCAGTACAGGGAGACAGTCTCCTATTCCCAGGGCTGCCTCTTTCTTGCCAGCATGTGTCATGTTCCAGAGTCCAGAGAACACACAGGCCGGAGCCACAGCATCCTAGTTTATCCTGAGAATAAACTTTAAGGAGGAAACTTTCCTTCATTCAGAGACCCACATCTCAGGAGTCCCATGTTTGTTTCCCATGTCCTTCTAGCAAAATAAGCCAATCATGACCACTGGAAATGTGCCCTCCTGAATATCCGAGGACAAAAGCCCAATCAAGGTGTCAGTGGAACTTGCAGTTCTGAGGGGTAGTTGCCTCTTCCTCCTTCTGGGACTGCAGCCATCCCAGTAACCTTGACTTTAGCCCCCATCCTCACCTTTATGTCCCCTTGCCTTGTGTGGTTCTGAACGGCTGCCATCTTGTCAAGACACCATTTGTTGCATGTAGGGCCACCTTCACCCAGTATGCCCACCTCAGTCAATACACTCGCAAAGACCCTATTCCCACAGATGACTGTCTCCCAAAGTTCTAGGTGGGTGTGAACTGGGGAGACACTGTCTGACCCACTAGAGAGCATGAGAGTTCAAAGACCTCAAAACTTTGCAGTGTGTCCCCAAACAGTGGGGTCTTCAATGGTCGCTGAAAGTCAGAGGAAGATCAAGAGGTAGGGCATTGGCCGTGGAGTCCTGTTCAAATAGGGCTCCCTTTACTGCAAGGAGCAAAAATCCATTTAAGTCGGAGTGTGGGGAAGGGCACAGAGCTTTCTCCTGCAATCCAGCTTCAGGGAGTGTGGGGGCCCAACCTCACAGCCTTGCCTCTCCCCACACCCCTGCTCTTCACTTTGTCAACTGTTCAGAACTTCAGCTGATGCCCCAGGGTCACGGTCCCTTCAGCCACAGCTCTGTGATTCCTCCAGTCTGACAGCCACAGCTCACGATCCCAGACCCCCGGGGGGGGCAGTTTTTTAGGGCCATGTGCATCTTCATTGTGGGCCACCCAGAGTCAGGGCTGTGCTGGATGGGAAATCCCTCTGCTGTGCCCAAAACTGGTTCAAGAGTCCTTGCTCGGTTCTCCTGTCCTGGGATCCATGGCGCGTTAATAAGATGTGGGGAAAGTTGCCTGCTCTCTGTGGTCAAACGCTCCACAAAACCCCCTTGTCAGCTCTTAGGTGCCCAGGCCAGGCCTGCAGCTGGGGTTCTGTGGAGACCTGCAAGAGCAGCCCAGGCCACACCGCCCCTGCCCTTTGCCATCTGCCTTTGGAGCATCTCCAGCCACCCAAACACCCAAAGCACCTCTCAATTCTGCAGACCTTTTGCCTGATGCCATCAAGTCTGGAGGAGGAGGAGACTGGGCAGAGACCAGGGTCATTGTGCAGCCCCCCTGCTGCCTGCTGGCTCCCGTTTAGACTCTCAAAGGCGCACTATGTCCTTACTTTGATAAATAAAGCTACTCTGCTAAGAGGACCCATGATCCTAGATGCAAACAGAGAGAGAGAGAGAGAGAGAGAGAGAGAGAGAGAGAGAGAG